TTCAAAGATTATTTTCAAGAAAAAAAAATTAAAAATTAGTTAAACTTACCATAAGCCAAACATAACATAAAAACATGTTTTTGTTTCGTTACTTTCATAGATACTAGGCATCAAACAACAATAGTTTGTTCTTTTAATTAAATTCAATACCATTGTATCATTATAATTATTGATTGTTAATCAATAATATTCGAAATCCAATCATCTAATCCAGCCTATACAAAATAATAAAAAAAAGATAATAATAAGAAAAAACATTAAATTTGAGAAAAACCAAATTGTTAAAATGAAATCTCAAATTTTCGAATTCTAAACCATCTAATGACAAAATTCTGTTTCTTTAAAGAGAATTCACAGTTTATATGGCCAAAGGATTTTTTTTGTTTGACATCAAAGTGAATTAAAACACAAAAATAATATAAAAAACTTTATAATAAAAAAGAAAAGAGAAAAAGGTAAATTATGCATCAGCTACATTCAAATCCGAGTTGTAGAGTAAACTTAACCTCACTTCTTTTTAATTAACCACTTAAGCTATAATTTTTTTTGTAAATATGAACCAATTTTTTTAACAAAATATATGGCTTAAAGCCTGCTTTACTTGCAATGGTCTCTTCGTGCACAAGTTTCTAGGAGGTTCAAAAGAATTGCAGGTTTTGGATCTGATTTCCATGTTTAGTTTGAAGTCGTATTTTCGTTTTTACTTTTTTCTGTATAAAGGTTGTCTTATACCTTGTATCCGTTTATGTATTTCGTTTTGTATTCTATTTTGTATTTCACTTTGTCTTCCATCTGGTATTCCACCTAAATTTAATGTATTTTAGTTGACAAAAAAAAACCACTGGTTTACCTGCTTTAAAGCAGGGACGAGCTGATAACATGCATTATTACATCATATTAGGAACTGTTTAGTATAGATTTTTACTTCATTTTGTCCATTTTTAGTCCAAAGTGTCTCATTTACATCCATTTTAGACATAACATGCATATAGATTAGGAATGCATACATCTTTGCATTTTGGGTGTATTTCAGGGCTTTTGGGGAGTTAAGAGAGGCATTAGGAGAATGGTGGATCATGTGGAGAGGAGAATCCAAGCTGGAAACAAGTCTTTCTAATCGTCCAGAATTCACATCATGGAGGTGCATCGAGGAGGGCACCGTCTATTCTGCCCGGTGCATACTATGTCCAAAGGATGATGATCGATAGTCTGAACCAGAGGCTGCACCGAGCAACCACACTGTGGAGGTTGAGCTATCAGAGCCTGATGCATGAAGCCACATGACATACCACAGAGGTACATCGAGGAAGGCGATGAGAAGCAGTACATGATGCGTACCACACTCGAGATTTCAGCCGAGCCAAGCATCCGACACATCATTTTCAGCACTCAGCAAGCAAGCACACCATGGAGAGCCAGTTTCTTCCCTGCTCGATATGAGTAATCTGAATATTGACCAGCGAGTTGACATTTTATTGACTAGGTTTTATTAGTTGACCAAGCCTATTTTGGGGTTTCCCTTTAAATAGGTTTGGCCTAAAAAACATCTTATCTTATGCTTATCTTATCCTTTTTCATCTAAAACTTTTTTGTAGCAAAAAATTCTCTTTTTCCTCAAGAACAAAGTTTGGATTTTGAGGTTTCTATTTAATAAAGTTTTGCATTTGTCTTTTGATTCTTCTTGTTCATTCATCATTAAATATGTTTAACCATACGTTATGGATTTAAACATAATTAGTGAGTAGTTAACCTTAGGTTTAATATTAAGGTAGATTAGGGTGGTTTCAATGATTGTTAAGGGTGTTAGGATGTTAGATCTTTGCTAATCTCTTCTTGTGTGATTGTTTTTAAAGCCAAATATCTCCCTTTATGATAAATATATCAAAGACGTTTTGCTGTATCATAGGTGTTTGATGAAATGTTTGAATGATATTCATTGCTTGAAATTGATGTATTGATTGTCATTACTATTTGCATCTATCATTTCTTGCATGATTAAGCTTATTGCTAAAGTACTTTAGGAATTGGGAAATCATCATTAGATATTGATTATACATGGAAGTGTGAGTGATCAGTTTGACCCACTGCACAAGAGATTAATATGCTTAACCTAAGGGATTAGTTTTCTAAGGTACTTTTTTGGCTTTGTGGACTTTGTTAATTAATGCTTGATGATTGTGTTTCCACCATTGACCATGGGTTAGAAGTATTATTAGTAAAGAGATTAGTGCCAAGTGATTAGATTAGTTTATATTAGTAGTCTTTTCTTAGAGATTATTGCATTGATTGTTTATTTTACACCTTGAACATGACTTGAACGACCCAAGTCATATTGTCGTAGTCTTAGACCTTGCCTTTTAATAATTCAAACTTTCTTAGTAATTTCTCTGTTATGATTGATCATAATATTGGTCTTGCTTAGTTTTAAATCATTGGTACTTAGTGTTTATGTTTTGAGTGCTTTCGTTACATGTTTACACTTGCTTGATTGCTTGGTGTGAATCATCTTTGAACCCCCTTTTATTCTAGCTTAGCAAGATTGTTGTATCTTCTCTACACCTCCCAAGCTTGGATTAATTCCCCATTGACATTATGCTACATCATTAGTGCATGGGTATTGCACTAAGCAGCCATAAAAACCTACTTATCACGAGCCAGAAGTAATTATACTCTCCTTCTTAGTATTGGTATCTCTCTCATTCGTTCTCTTCTTCACTTCTTATCAATTAATAATACCTAAAGAATGAATATCATAATAAATATATATATATAATTATAACATATACTATAGTTTTGGAAAAACAAATTTGGCCCAAATGTTTATAATATAGTTGCCACAGTGTGGATATACTTTCAAATAAAGTAGTTTTATCAAATCCATCACAGTGTTGCGATGTTTTTAACAAAGTTTGAAGTTTGATATCATCATTATATGCATCATTTTTCTAGTAAACTTGTTCACCCGTCAAAGACTGAGGTGAATACTTATTCAAAGCGTTTTTTTCTTTTAAGAAGTCTTTTTATTCTTCCTCAGTGGATGATCATGAGGACGAGGAAGAAATCTTTAGTGACAATCAAACCAACATGTCTTCCTTCCATTAGGGAGATAAATTGATTCTGTTTCTTCCATGCAAATTGGACAAGACAATTTACCATGAGCCATCCATCTTGATAACATGCCATACGCCAGAAATTCACTTATCGTCCACATCAGCACTGCTTTCAGATTGGAATTTTGATTCAAGGATACATCGTATGAATCGACTCTAGTACACCATAATTCTTTTAACTCGTCATTCTCTTCATTTTGTCTATATGGTACTTTGGCTCTCTGTCGTCCGTTGTTAGGCTTCCATTTTGATGCATCACAAAATTGACACTTATCCCACTTTTCATCCTCTTTCCAAAAGATCATACAATTTTAAATACAAACATCAACAGTATAATATGGGAGGCCTATATTGCGCATCAATTTTTCTGTCTCGTAATGTGAACCGGTTGGTTGGTTTCCATCTTGTAAATACTCTGTCAACATTCCGCAAATCAAATCCCCGCACTTTTCACTCATATTTTAATCTGCCTTATTTTGCAGGATCTGGGCAGCTAAAGATAATTGCGAGTGACCTTCATGACAACCCTCGTATAATGGAATTTTTACTCCTTCTAACAAGTCGTAGAGTTTTTTTTGAATGGTTACATACCGGTTCTTCTACATTTTGATAATTATCATCCTGATGATAATTATCAAAATTGACGGTATCACGAAATGCATCATTCACCATATCTACATATGTATCTTCAACTATATTACCCACTTTTTCGCTCCCACTTATATGCGCCGTATTTACATAACTCATTCCTAAATCCATATTGATTTATTCTCCATGCTTAAACCAAACATAATAATCTGGCATAAATCCTCTACTATACATATGATTCCAAACTTTAGTCCCAAAGATAAATTTGTCATTTTTGCAAACACTACAAGGATAGTGAAACTTACCCCTATTGCTCTGCGCTAGAGGTTGGTTGTTTGAAAATGTCATGAATTGATCGACCTCTGCTATGAACTCTGCAGAAAAATTCTCTGCCTCTTCATCGATCCCCTTATACTACCACTCCCAAAAATTATTAGAATTGTAATTTGCTGACATTACAATTATATGAAGAATATTTTTTTTTTTCATTCGAAATAAATGTAACAATGCTCTTTTTATATTTTGAGTTTTTATGGTTGGGAGAGAAAGTAATGTGCAGTAATTGGTATATATAGATAAATTTTGCGATTAATATGCAACTATAATTTACAACTGATTTACGACTACTTTATATAATTGTATAAATTAGGTACACCAACCACTAAACGAAGAAATTGTGTGATACTGGGTTTTTACGACTAAAACGCGATTGTTGTGCGATCCGCCGAATGAGTCGCTTATTGGTCGAAAATATTTCGACTACAGCTCTGTGACGTCATTGTAATCGTAAATCAGTCGTTACGCAACATTGGTGACTGTTTTGCGACTGTTATTTTATGATCAAGTATTAGTTGCAATATAGTTGCAAATGAGTCGTAAAATATTACGACTACAGTTGTAGTCGTAAACTGTAGTCGTCAAATCGCTGGTTTTTTGGTAATGGACCTTGCCATTTTAACCGATGGAGCTTCTCACTTGAGCAATGGCAAGCAAGTGTTAGGGATGATTTCCCGAATACGATGGTCTTCTGGATCATTTTTTTGGGATTCCCGATACATTGTAAAAAGGAGACTTCTTTCATAAAAGTTAGGTGAAGTAATTCAGGTGGATGAAAAAAGAGCTAAAGTACAAGTTTTTGTCAATAGTGATGAGCCTATGCAATTTGAGAGGAAAGCTCGCTTCAAGAATGGCGATACTATAAAAATCACTGTAAAAATCAATATTGATTTCTTCCTCCAACTTTTAGTATCAATTTTGCTTTCTTCCTCGAATTTCTCAATCAGAATTGTCTTTGTGTGCTTAATGAAACAGGTGACTTCCTAGTCAAAGCTTGTTTGGTACATTGTCTCCCAGAATCGGAAAGCTCACTTTTCTACAATCTGTGTAAGTTGTCATAGTCTTCTTTTGCTATGTTTTGATTTTTCTTTTGTAGCTTATTAGATTGTTCTTATTGAGCTTAAGGTTTGTGGTTTTCGTTGTTGCAAAAGAATGCTATCTTTACTAAGCAAGTGCTATTTATTCCGTTGATGGGTGTGTTATGATCTGAGTGATTTCGTATATCTCCTTGCAGGAGATAGTATCAATCTACTCTGTTTTTGTACCTCCAAATCTGACTCCTGCTCAGTCGAACCGTGTTTACAACTCACTCACCCTTCTTCAGGTAGATCTTCCACCAGCGCTTCTTTCAAGATTTAATCTTTTGTGGTTGATCTTAGATCGAGCTGATATGTACAGCGACCTGGAGTTGTCTAAGCATGTGCTTCATGTGCACCAGACAAAAGAATCTCTTGCACTTGGCTTTGAGCCGCTGGACCTAATATTCTCTGATAAGTTCTATAACATACTTCTTGCTTCTGCAAAGTCACAGGTTTTTAACATGGACATCTCTGGTTTCTCTAGTGCATACATTTCAGCTGCTAGGAGATTATGCCTATACGTTCCATCAGAGTTAGGGGAATACATAGCAACGGCTTATTCCTGCATCAAGCAAGAAGAAGCAAGATCGAATACTCCTCGTTCTTACACAACAGTGAGAACGCTGCTCAGCATTCTGTGCATATCCGCTATAAGTATAAGGAAAAAAATACAGTAATTGGACTTGGAAGTAGTGGCATGATTTGAGTAAATGATTTTGCAATTGTTCTATAGGCACTAGCAAGGTTGAGGTTCTCCGAATTAGTGGCACAAAGTGATGTGGATGAGGCGCTTAGACTAATGTAAATGTCGAAGATATCATTGTATGTCGATGACATGCAAACAGCAGGACTAGATGCAATATCAGACACATACTCAATCATAAGAGATGAAGCTTCAAGATCGAAGAAGACCCATGTGAGCTATGCAAATGCTCTTAACTGGATCTCCAGGAAGGTTAGTTACTTCTTCTTCTTCTTCTTTCTTATTGGTTTCGTAGTGGATGATCGATCACTGAGATGAGTGATTTGGATGTAAACACAGGGATATAGTGAGGCTCAGCTTAAGGAGTGTTTGGAGGGATTCATGACTCGTCAGATCTACCAATGGTACACACATTCATTAACAAGATTGAGGTAGTAAACATGTTTTTCTTGAGCATTCTCTATTTGATTTTCCCCACAAAGATTTATTTGCTGACTATTAGCTTCTTAGTTTATTATAATCTACAGTCTTGGTTTGATTTTAGGTTTTTGATGTTTATTGTATCTTTGCTTATTTGATGTTGTTGTTTAGCTTTGCCTTTGTATTTTCAATACTTTCTGTATTTGGGCAAAGCGTGAATTATGTCTTGGATTTTTAGAATTGATTAGGTTTTTGATCTGTTATTTAAGTGCATAAGAATGTGTGTGAATCTTCATGTTGATCAATTTGAGTTCCTAAAAAATTAAAGGTTTAAATATTAAACCATAACATCAAACCTTCTAAAACAACTAGAGATCTAGAGTCAATCTTTACGTAAATTGTACTTCTATTATTAACCTAGTTACTGCTAAAAGCATCTCAAAGTTATCTGATTCATTCGACTGAAACAAAGGTTGAATCACTAATGGTTTTGAAATACGAGACTATCGTGAATCATGTTGGACACGGTAAGTCTCATAATCTCATTCATGTCGTTTAACTCTAATAGTTGTGATGCTTGATTAGTTTTTTTATTAAACATGATTTATTCTCTGTGTTAATGATTTTCATTATCTTTTAGACATGATTTCCATTATCTCTTAGACATGATTTCCATTATCTCTTAGACTATGTGTTAACATGTGATGAAATATTTATTAAGCAATAATAGTATTTAAGTTCATTTATTAAAATAGAGAACCTTGTTAACTTGTTGTCTTACTGTAAGACTCTTACATCATGGTTTCTGATTATGATTTCAACTTCTTGACAGAACTCAGCAGGCTTCACTGCCTCTACCATGGGATCTATACAACTCATGGACTTATAAATGCTCTAAATTCCGAAGATGAACTGAACAGTGATAGATCACCATCACCTCCAATGAATGGTTGCAAAAGAAGACTCATTGAGGTTGGCGATGATGAAGAAGAGGAAATCACCCCAGAACCGATACATAGAAATCACTTTGGGGTTAGAGCATCTCAAACTCAAAGTATGAATAAGAGGAATCTGTTTCAGGCTGCTTCTGATGTTGGAAAAGGACTAACATCTCAGAATAAGAGTAAGGAAAAAGTAGTCTCCTCTGAACCGAGAAAGAGAGTCTATGAGGCTGAGTCAAGCAAGGCAACTAAGAAAAGAGTAAAAACTGTTGAGATTGAAGATGAATCAGATGAAGAGGACAAAGAAAAGGCATCAGATCAGAAAGCAAAGAAGCCCAAAAAGCAGTACTCGAAAGCTTGGCTTGATTTTACAGTGATTACTAAGAAAGATGGGACAGAAAGAGCTCAGTGCAAGCATTGCAAGAATGACTATGCATAACTCCCACAAGACCAGTACGAATCATTTACTATGTCATATTAGTGTCTGCAATCTCAAAACTAGGGATGATGATGTTGGTAAAATGATGGTCAATGCAGAGGCAAAATTACAAGCAAGGAGGATTGAGCACTCTTTTTTGTGTTATGGTAGCTAAAAGCAAAATTCAGCATGATCTGCCTTTTGCTTATGTTGGTAAGAAAGCACAGTTCATCTGATTCACACTGCATAGATCGAAACTGGAAACTGAAGAAGAAGATTATCTCATTATGTGCTTTTGCGCCTCCACATTCATGTATGAACTGTGCGATGCAGCTTCTTCAACAATGGGAGGATTGGGGAGTCCATAAAACGGTGTTTTCAATCACACTAGACAATGCTAGTAGTAACGACTCAATGAAGAGCATTCTGAAATCACAACTGCTGATACGTAATGACTTGCTGTGCAACGAGGATTTCTTCCATGTTAAATGTTCAGCTCATATCGTGAATCTGATTGTTCAAGATGGTCTCAAAGTCAGTGGAGATTCTTTGCATAAAATAAGAGAGAGTATCAAGTATGTGACAGCTTCTGAATCTCGTGAGATATTGTTTGCTAAATGTGTTGAATCTATGAAGATTAAAACAAAGGCTTGTTTGTTGTTGGATGTTATAACAAGATGGAATTCAACATATAAGATGCTTGCTAGGGCCATGAATCAACGAGATGCTTTTAGTTATCTTCAGCAGATGGATGGGAGAAAATTCAGGGTTAACCCAACAGAAGATGAATGGAATCGCCTAAAGAATTTGTGTAAATTTTTAAAGCCATTTGATGAGATCATACGGCTTATGTCAGGTTCGACATATCTAACTTCAAATCTTTGTTTTATGCAAGTTTGGAAGATCCATAATTGGCTGAAAGTGAATGAAAAAAGCAGAGCTCAAGTTGTGAGGGAAATGCTCATACCCATGCAGGAGAAGTTTGACAAATACTGGGAAGAAGTGCATGATATTTTTGCAATGGCAAGCATCTTCAATCCGCGACTAAAGCTTACTCTTGTAGAGTTCTGTTTTAATCTGCTTGAAAAATTATCATTGCAAAGAAAGATTGAGAACTTGCGTGCTAAACTGAGTATGCTTTTTGAATCATATGAGCCGGAGTCGACCTCACCATCTACATTGTCTCAAGAAAGTGAAGAACGAAACAATAATGATGGAGAATCTAAAGGGAGTTTCAACAACTACGATGTAAGTATATAATATAGATCTAGTCAAAGAAAGGTTGCTAGTATATATTGTTGCTAACTTGAAATGTTTCATTCTTTGATTTGAAGATTTCTTGGCTTTTCGCAAGACACATGTTGTTGTTAGTGGAAAATCTAAGCTGAAAATGTATCTTGAAGAACCGCCTTTAGACATAGCAAGTCATGCGAGCATGGACATCTTGGATTATTGGAAAGATAACTTGAAAAATTATGGTCAGTTGGCTTCAACGGCTTGCGATTTACTCAACATTCCTTTCAAAACAGTAGCTTTAGAATCATGTTTCAGCATTGGATCTCGGGTCTTGAACAAGTACAGAAGCCAGCTTCTTTCAAAATATGTGCAAGATTTGATCGGCAGTCGCAATTGGTTAAAAGGTTTTGAAGCATATGAAAATGGTAAAGAAATATCCCTCTAAAGTATTAGTATTCCACAACTTAAACTGTGTACTAATGTCTTTTAATTTAATCTCACTTATGTAGAAGAGGATGAAAAGTACAATGGTGAAGAAGATCTCTCTTCTTTTGAATCAGTTTATGATGATGAAAATGAGTGATATGAAAAAAATGGTGTGTTCTTGTTGCTTTTCTTATTTCAAGTTTGAAATTTCAGTTTGGCATTGCTTTTATGACTTTTTGTTGCATCTCAAACTGGTTTTTTAGTGTTTTAGTTGGAATGACCTTTTACTTTGGTTTTATTTTATCTTGTTGAACTCTAGATATTTTGGATTTGATGCAATACATTTACTTTGTTTCATGCAATGTTTTCATGTGTTTGATGTAGAATCGTTAACTTTGTTTCATGCAATGTTTCAAATTAGAAGAAATATAGCTATGTTTGTTACCTCTAACTTGTAATCTCGTATATATAGTTTTATGATTGATATTGCAGGTTTGAAGATTGATTTTGCAGGTTTTAAAATTATTTTTCAATAATATAACATATCCCGTGGGCCAGCCCGAAAGCCCGCTTAATAAAGGCGGGGCGGGCTTGGGATTAGGATTAGTTGTCTGTAACCCGCGGTGGGCCGAGCAGCATGGACACACTGAATTTCAAGCCTGCTGCGAACAAGCACGTGCGGACGCGAGCTGGACTGTTGACATCTCTAGACTTTCGTATCCAAGAGACTGATCACCGATAATATCTTAACAGTTCAGGATATCTTCCATGCGTTCTGGATAAATCCAATCTGTAATTCAAAGTTCGTAGCAATCAAGACATATATGAGTAAGGCATACGATAGGGTCGAATGAGAATTCTTAGAGGCGTTGATGGATAAGCTGGGCATTGATCCCAAATGGTTTATGTGGTGTGTCTCCTCGATCTCTTACCAAGTTCTACTTAACGGAGAACCCAAAAGCCATATTGCACCATCGAGAGGGTTACGACATGGAGATCCATTATTACCATTCCTTTTTATTATACTCACAGAAGCTCTTATTAGCCAGATTAAAGGTGTTGAGATGGAAGGACGGATCACATATATCAAATTTGCCTAGGCCAGTCCAGCAATATCACATCTTCTGCTTGTGGATGACAGTCTTTTCTTTTGTAAAGCGGATGTCCAGCAATGTGCAAAGCTCTTAAAAATTCTTACATCATATGGACAAGCATCGGGTCAACAAGTAAACTTCACAAAGTCTTCAATACTTTTAGGAAGTAAAGTGAAACCTGACAGTAAGAATGCTCTAAAGAATATGATCGGGATACATCAAGAAGGGGGGATGGGGGTGTACCTAAGATTTCCGGAAAAGATATGTGGATCGAAGAAGCAGGTCTTTTCATACATTCAAGAGAAATTAAACAATAGGATCAACTTGTAATCTTTCAGATTGCTCTCGGAAGGGGGAAACGAGGTACTCATAAAATTAGTTGCTCAGGCCATTCCATCATATGTAATGTCTTGTTTCCTCCTGCCTTAAGACGTGATTTATAAGATAAGAGGGGCGATCTCGTGATTTTGGTGGAGTTCTAAAGCTAATAATCGAGGTCTCCATTGGATTTCTTGGGAAAAAATTTGTGTTCCTTATGAGAAAGAAGTACTGGAGTTCAGAGATTTGAAGAACTTCAATCTGCCCCTCCTAGCAAAACAATTATAGATACTAATTAGATATCATCATTGTTATTAGCGTATGTAGTGAAGGGTAGATACTATCGATACTCTAACCCATTGGAAGTAGAAAAGTCAAATGCTCCCTCATATGGTTAAAAAAGCATAGGAAAGTCATCAAGTCAGGTTTTAATACGAAAATTTGGAGTGATCCATGGATTCTCGTGATACCCTCAAGGCCAGCGCACGGGATTGATAACAATAGTGACCCGTATTTATAACTTAATCATCTTATCGATTTTAAGACAAA